AGGGCTCTGCTTTGAACAGACTGAGCTGGCTCAGGGCAGCAAACCAACCAAAGCACTCACTCCCTCCCAGCCCTGGAGAAAAGCAGGAATAAATGCAGGAGAATAGAAGCATCCTGGAATGGAAGCAGATTTTAATTGCTCTCTGGAATAAGGCTGCTTGAAGCCAGACCAGCAGGGAGTGGGAGAGGAGGGTGTTTAAAGCAGCCTGTACTCTAAATTCCCACAGATATGTATTAATTGCAGCAAGACTGGCACCATGGCCTTGCTCCCACTGTCACGAGTACTCTACCAAAGCTCTCTTAACTCACACATCTGACAGCCCAGCAGCCTCTTACAGTGCCACTCTCCCTCCATGGCTGGTGGCACCTCTGGGTGGCCCCACCCAGCACCACGGGGCTGAGGAAGGTGTGGTAGAAGGGTCAGGGCCTCCAAGAAGTGCTGGGAATGAGGGCTGACCCATTGCAGGAGCCTCCCAACCTCTTTCCTGGCTTGCAGGGAGCAAAGAGCTTCAGTCAGCCACCCACCAGCTCCTGGTGCTACAGCTTTTATTCCCCATCACAGCTGGTGGGGAATTGCTGACACAATTTCTGAGGAAATTGTTAACACAGTTTGTGTGGATTGCTGGCCTGCAAAGGCACACGGGGCAGTTGTTGGTATGTACCTCCCCTGACACACACAGGCTGTTTATAGACTCATTACTCTGATTTTCCTTAAACCACTTCCTGTACCCCTTTGCCTTCACTTTTGGGTGGGCAGGATGTGGCACCAGCCCCCGGACCCATGACAATTATCACCATTCAAAAGCATTTTCTTTGCCCACGGTTCACCAGTTTACCAATGGAGACATTTGCCCTACATTCACCCCTCAGAAAAAGTCATCACCTGCAGCTCTTGCTTGGTTCCCTGAGGTGTCCCACAAGGGGAGCACCACCACCTGTCTAAGCCAGCCTGGCTCAATAAGGCTGGGAAGGTTTTGGGGGGAAGCAGGAGGACATCCCAGCTTGTGGGTGAATGTTATCCTACAAGAAGCCTGACCAGGCACACTTACTTTGCTAGAAGCAATTACAGCTCATTTGACATCATCAGTTCTGGATATTTCTCAGGACAGAAGGTCCTGTTGTGATAGAAGGGGGAATGGCTTTAAACAGAAGGAGAGTGGATTTAAATTAGATATAAGTAGTGTTTTTACAATGAGGATGATGGGGCACTACCACAGGTTACCCAGAGAGGTGGTAGATGCCCCATCCCTGGAGCATTCGAGGTCAGGTTGGATGGTTCAGTTCTGAGCTATCTGATCTGGTTGATGATGTCCCTGCTCATTGCAGGGGGGTTGGACAAGATGACCTTTAAAGGTCCCTTCCAACCCAAACTACTCCTTGATTCTATTATTAACCTGCAATGCTTTTGAAAGCCTGAACACTCCATACAAATAAATCACCTTAATAACCAGCGACTGCAAGACAGCCAGCCGAGAACATTTTGTTTTGGTAAACAGATTATTGATTGTGTATCTGTGTCCTTGAGATGAACTTGACTCCTTGACAGCAGCAGGAGCCCAACAAAACAGGTTCTCCATAACTCCAAAAGGGTTCAAGGCCTTTGTCTGGAGCCAGCAGAACATCAGCTTTACAGAGGCAATAAAGCACCACTGATTTAGCATTGCCAGGGATTTCCCCCTCCCTGAAACGCTGCCTTTTCTTTGTTTGCTCAGCTGACCCAAGCTGCACTGTGTGAACATGGGCTTCAAGAGGCAAAGTCCATCTCCATGGCATGGATTTGCCAGGAAGAAAACTTTGTCCCTGTTGTGCTGATGATGGAGCTGTTGGCACAAAAGTTGGTCCAAGCAGCTCTGAGGGAAAACACAGCTCGTGTCCTTTGTAGCAGCATCTTCAAAACCAGTGCTTGATTTTCAGGGCTTCATGCCACTGTAACATTTATAATCAAGGGATGCCCAGCCAGAGAAGACAAGAAGGAAGAATAAAACATTCTCTCAGCCTTCTCTCCAAGCCCTCCCCATCACACCAATATACATGGATCTGTTTCCTCTGTGCACAGCCTCTGGCCCTGGTTGGGCCCAGAGACACACAGAAGAAATATTTTCTCTGTTGGTAGAACAGTTCCTACTGCAAAGCAATTTCCTACATGAGTTTAGATCTGTTAACAATTCTTCCCCCCAAAGCAAACAAGTTTTGTTGGAGAACCAGGCAAAGAACTCCTAAAGCAGGTGCCAGTAATTTGTTTGGGGCATTATAAGAAGCAAAAGCCCCTCTACCCACACCAGGCAATGAGATTTAATTAATCTCCATCTCATCTCTGACAGGTTATTTTAATCAAGCACATCCTAACCAAGGCACGGAGAGCATGTTCACTATGGATAATGAGGAGTAAGGCACAAGGCAGAGGGTAAAGCACAAGGGAGCATCGTCAGCATCACAACCCCTGCAGCCCCCCACCACAGCCCCTAAAACACACAGAACCCAGGCACACGACCCTGGCCATGGCAGCATGATGCCAGTTCCAAGGTAATATAGTTTGGGAAGAGAAAGAGCAGCTTTTAAGCTATCCCAGACACCAGAGATATACTTTATGCTGAAAAGCAGAAAGCCTCAAAGGATTGTGGGTGAAAAATACTTTCAAAGTCTTTTGTCCCAGGGAATAGTTACAGATCAGCAGATGTAACTCCCATTCTCCTGAATTTCTCTGCCTTCCTCTATGTTCTTCTCCGAAAAAGACAACAGCAATTCCTGGAAACTGCCTTTCCCCTGCAGACCTACCAATGCCTTGCTTCATCTACAACTCCTTATAAACCACACCAGCTTCCCCAAAACAGGCAAGAGGAAAGCTGTGGGGGTGTTTCATCTGAAGAAGTACCATCCATATCATTCCTATGCAATATAATTGGACAACATAATTCCTGTTTCCTTTTCCTTAAGTCTGGTTAGATTTTGGCCAAGATACAGAAAATATCTTGAAGAGTTGTATGTTGGGCATAAAAGAACTCCCATCTGCTGAGAAGTCAGTTATAGCCATGGCCTTAAGAAGTGCAGTGAAATGTTTTACTCCCACCCAGCTACTGGTGCACAATAATCTTGCCAGAAGAATATGAAAACATCCAAAGAAGAGGAGCAAAGTCGAACACAGTTCTTGGCTACATGGCTCAGATCTATGAGCTGGCCCTCCTGGTTAAATGCACACCGCCAGGCATGGCAGTGATGGATGCCTGTGTTTTCCCTTGCCTTGCCTTGAAACAAAGGTCAGGCAACATTTAAAAGACTAAAGGAGAATCAAAAGACTCTTGATTTCCTTTTTCTGTTTTTTTTCTTTAGGGAAATGCTGGTAAAGTGATCTTGCATTCTTACTCTATAACCTGGGGTGCATTTCCGACAAGCTCCACGGGACTCCTGCACCTCCTGAGGCACATCTGAAGGATTTCATTGAATTTCCAAAGCCGGATCAGAGACCCAGCTGGAGAAACCCGGCCAAACTCTCCCAGAGCAGCCCAAAACAGCACAGATCTGGCAAGGTAAGTCTGTTTATTTGTTTATTTTGCACACTGTAATGTTGCTTACCCTCCTACTTCCTTTGTTAAAACCAGCCACTGTTCCCTATTGAAGCGGTTTAACCCCCTGCTTGCCACCTCTTCATGCATCCCTCATTCAGCCAGTCCAGGGTGCTGCCCGTGTCCCTCGACATCCCTCTCATTCCTGAAGGGAACATCCACCGTATTTACTATTTTAATCATCCTGCAGGGAGAAAACCTTTGTTTCCCCCCCTCTCCCCTGGTCTGAGCAAGTGCTAATTGCTCAAACATGCAACGCGCACACACAGAAGCATCATGTTGATCTGATTGCAAATCCCGGTACGTCAGCAAGCCAGAGACCCTCCTCCAACTCGGATTAGAGGGAAGAGGCTCACCAGTGCAAGCAGCAGGTGCTGGAGGAGACAGCGGAGCCGCTTCCAGGTAAGGGACACTCCATCTCTCCATCCCCAACCCCGGCAGCCCCGCTCACTTTATTGCTGTGCCACAATAAAAGGCAAAAGAAGTGAGGCACTTCCCTTTGCAGAGCCTGGGACCGGTTGCCAAACCTTTGATCTTCACGGTGGGGGTAGGGGTCGGTTGTTTATTGATTCCTTGTGGAGGAATTCTTGGAATTATGGGTCCGGCAATAGTGATGGATGTGGTAACTGCTACGATGGGATGATTCTTGCTGTATCTCTAAAGTGGATTCACTTTCAGGGTACTTTTCTCCCTCTTCCCTGATTAATCCTGAACTTCTGAGATTTACAGGTTTGTCTGTCCAAATCTGTGCCAAATTTGGGGTGCTGCCAGTTGTTTGTACTGGGGATGGTTTACATAGTGAATAAGTTCATAGCCCACCCTTGCTTGCAGGATAATCCCCTTTAACTGTTCATTTCAGAAATACTCCCTGAACTATTTTCCCCCCCCTCCTTCTTTCGCTAGGGGACCCCGGGAGTGGGGAGTAGCAGTGTTCGAAACTTCTTCATTGTTTGTGGAATCGCAGTCCATGAAGATCCTAAACTCCGACACAAAGGCAGGTGCTAATTAACCACTGGAACGCTTCTACTCCGGCAGGAAAGCGAGCACTGTGCCCCTGAAACAGCAGCAGCCTCAGGTCCTCCAAGGGCTGTGAACAGCCAGGCAGGCACGAAATTCCCCCTTCTGCCTCCTCATTCCTGCCAGCCCCAGAAGAACTCTCACAGCAGACAGCTGAATGGGAGCCACTTGACTCCCCCAGCAAAGAAAAGCCAAAGCTCACAGGAATGCTCTCAGAAAGAAGGGTTCCTTGGCTTACTTAGAAAGTCATAATTCTCCTGTTTTCTTGGTTCATGGAGCCTTATGTCTTCCAAACATTTTCATCTCCCCTCATCCTTCAAAATCTAACTTCTCCAACAGGGGGGAGAGGTAAGTTAGGTGGTGCATGAAGCCTCACAACTCACCTTTGAAAATAAGCTGCACCTAAATGAGGTAACAGTTGCTTCTCACAGAAGGGGAAAAAAAACTCAACCAAACAAAAAACCTCTCACTTCTGAGCTTGTGAGGCTTTCAGTGGCATCTGAGTGTGGTCTGTGATCAATAGGCATGGGAAACATCTCCTTTTGGGATGATCTGAACAGCTCCTGCAGCAACGCAGGCAACAGCTGCTACGTGGAAAACAGCATGAGGTTCAACTTCACCCTCCAAGAGCAGGCAGCTGATTTCTACGTTGTCCTGCCCGTGATCTACTCTGTGATCTGTGCTGTGGGGCTCACAGGCAACACTGCTGTCATCTATGTGATCCTCAAGGCTCCCAAGATGAAGACTGTGACCAACATGTTCATCCTGAACCTCGCTATCGCTGATGACTTGTTCACCCTTGTCCTGCCCATCAACATTGCAGAGCACCTCCTCCGCTACTGGCCCTTTGGAGAAATCCTCTGCAAAGTCATCTTGTCCATAGACCACTACAATATCTTCTCCAGCATTTATTTCCTGACAGTGATGAGCATAGACAGGTACCTGGTGGTACTGGCTACAGTCAGGTCCAAGAGGATGCCCCACCGCACGTACCGAGCAGCCAGGATTGTCAGCCTGTGCATCTGGATCCTGGTCACCATCATAATCCTCCCTTTCATCATCTTTGCCAATGTCTACACCGATGACCTGGAGATCAAGAGTTGTGGGCTCAATTTCCCCAAGCCTGAGAGGTTTTGGTTCAAAGCCAGCAGGATCTACACCCTCATCCTTGGCTTTGCCATTCCCGTATCCACCATCTGCATCCTCTACACCATGATGCTCTACAAGCTGAGGAACATGCACTTGAACTCCAATGCCAGAGCCCTGGACAAAGCCAAGAAGAAAGTCACCATCATGGTCTTCATAGTCCTGGCTGTGTTCCTCTTCTGTTGGACCCCCTTCCACTTGGCCACCATCGTGGCTTTGACCACTGACCTTCCCCAGACTTCCATGGTCATTGGGATATCCTACTTCATCACCAGCCTAAGCTACGCCAATTCATGCTTGAATCCTTTCTTGTACGCTTTCCTGGATGACAGTTTTCGGAAAAGTTTCCGGAAGTTGCTGGAATGCAGAACTTCTTGAACAGGGGATTGGGGCTGGCAGGTCCCTGCCCTCCCGGGGCTTTTCAGGGGCAATTTTGCAGACTGAAGGGGCAGCCAATGAATGCACATTGTCCTTTCTTTCATTTACACGTAATGTATGGTCTGTTTATAACCCTCATCAGCAACAGGGTTTGTCCTGCCCATTTGCAACTCTTGTATTTCCCCTCTTTGCTCCTACCAGCTTCTCAGAGTTGCGTTTTTATACCCTGATTTTTAATTTCACCCTCTGAATTATTAAGGACAGAACATTTCCTTTTCAGGGGTGTACTTCTGCCACAGAGTGGTCCTTTATTGCCATCTGCTGTACAGCACAGACACACTGGAGACCAGTTTCCAGATGAGTGCAAAGCTCAGTTCTTTATCACTGTGTTATTAGGAGGATTGTTTAATGGAGCAGAGCTAATGAGCACTTTCAATGAAACATCAATAAAACAGAGAATGAATATTTGGAAGAGAAAAGAAACTATTTTCATGTTCATGTATGTTCCTGTGTGCAATGGCTTTCTTTTGATTTTGAAGGATATCCATCTTCCACTCCACCACAAATTTCCTCTTTTCTGACTTGTTAAATTTAGACCAAAAGGAATATTTGAGTCTCAAAAATCGTGCTAAACAGCACACCATACAAATACTATGATAACTGTGAGAATTGGTGTTAGAAGTTATTTTAAACTAGTTGTTCCTGTTAAGTGTCAAATACATATTTATTTAAGAGTGAGTAATGAAATAAATCTCATAGGGGAAAAAAGAGACTGGTCCTTCTTTCACAAGAGAAAATTTATGCTACTTGTGCCATGTCTTTGCTTTATATATTGCATTTTTCCTATTATAAAATAAAACACGGTACATTTGTAACAAAATTAAGGTGTTTTGTAAGCCATGAGAAAAACTCCAGTGACCACTGCAGATATAAAGTATAAAGTTCCTTCTTTCACAGACAAATAGTCAAAATACTTGAACAAAACCAGGACTTGACTGGGAGAGTCTGGAGATCAGAAACTCCATATGGAAAGCATGGGAAGCTCATTCTTACACCCTTTATCCCTGAGAAGTTTGTATGTTACTGGTTTTAAGAAGGCTGTCTTAGCTAAAATATTCCTTTCAAGTTTTCCCCTAATCCCAGGTACCAAGCTCTGCTGTTACCTGCCCAAGTTCCCTCAGGAAAGTGCAGGACAGGTAACACAAAAGAAGAATAAACTGCAGTTCTCAGCTCAAATGGGCTCTCAGAGCAATGGGTGTTCGGGTGGAGACCCCAGGTGAGACCCCGACACCAAAACGGACAACCCTCAACACCTCAGGCTGGCAATTTCATTTATAGAAAACTAAAAGCAGATGTGTGGATACAAGATCACTCTGTTGTCTTCTCCATATTAAAGGTGCTAACGGGGAGAACAGTGAAGGAGAACACATTCCTCCAGGCGAAACTTCGCCAGGAATTTTGCTTTAGCATGGTTGCCACCTGCTGGCAATGGGCTTGGGAAAAACCTCTCTGAGTGAGAAAACTGGCTCAAATTATGTCACCGCTCACACAAGCTGCCCAATCAGCTGAAACATCGCTGTTCATTGCCATTGGGGCTTTAGGAAAGGCAATATATTTTATTACGTAGAAAAACGACTGTGTTTTTTTAGATGGAAAGGGCCTTTTCAGTGTGAGTTATCCATTTTCAGACACGACAATGATATTGTTGGAGCTTTTTCCATTAAATCACAAGACATGACAGTCACAGAACCAGAGCATGGCTGAAGCAGGGTCAAATTTCCCAGCACCTGTGTCCACCTGGGTTTGAAGGTCTCCAGGAATGGAGAAGGCACAGCTACTGTGGACAACCTGTTCCTGTGCTTCACCACTCTAACAGTGAATTTCTTTCTTATGATTTAATGGAATTTTCCACATTTCACTTTGTGCCTCTTGTCCTGTCACTGGGCATCACTGAGGAGAGTCTGGTTCCCTCTTCTCTGAACCCTCCAGCACTTACAGACATTGTTTGCATCCCCTGGGCTTTCCCTTCCTGAGCGTGAGCAGCCCCATCTCAGCATCTCCTCACGGCAGCATCCTGCTGCATCCACGCTTTTCTCCACGTCAAACACGTAACACGAGTGTCTGTCCCTCGTGTGGGTGCCAGCTGCGAGGACAGGAGGATGTGCAGTGTCCGAGGTCTCCTGCCGTGCTCAGGAGAGGCTCCGTGTCCGTGCGCTTCAGCCCGGCGGCGCTGAGCGGCACTCTCTGCTTTCGGCTCAGCATCGCTGCATCCCACACAGCCCGGCACGCTGCTCCTGCGGGGACACACCGGGGCTCCCCTGCACGGCAGCCCAAGCCAGGCTGCTTCGGCTCCTTGGAGAGCAGAAAACGCCTCCAGAGAGATGCTTGCCCACCCCAGCACAAGATCTCCCCCAGGGATCCCCCCAGCTTGTTCCTTTGAATTTCCTCCCACTGCTGGGGCTGGCTTGTCACACCAGCCCACACCAGCTGCATCTTGAAGACTGGAAGTGGGAAAATAAACCCCATTAACGATTCACTGAATAAATCCCCTCCTAAAGCAAGTATCCCATCTGGGGTCTGCAGGGTCGCAGGAGGCAGAATTAGGAACCCTCAGGGTTCCCTCCTCCTCCTAACCCCTTCCCAGCCAGCCATGCACTGAGAGTGAAGTCAGCTCAGCCTCAAAGCCGGGGAAATTTCCTTCTGGGACAGCCTGGGATGTGTTAATGGTGCAAAGGTGCAGTGCAGCCACACATCTCCTTGGGCACGGCAGGAGCTGAAGCCTTTCCCTGGCTCCTGCCCACTGCAGCAGCAGGCTCCTGCTCCAGGCAGCAATCTCCTTCCTCATTCTGTCACACCAGTGAGGACACAGCCCTGGGGGACTCTGCTCCATCATCCCTGGGAGCTAGTTCCTACCCCAGAACGGGAATTAAGGCTCATATTCCCACTGCAGGCTTCCAACGCAGGCATCTGAGCTAAGCAAGGATCGGAAGCAGTTGTTGCTTTTTAAGTCTCGGTGCTGCAGCAATATTGGCTGTTTGGATCAATTGTCCTCATCCGAGCTGTGCTGCAGCTTGCTCTCCCGGGGAGCTCTAATCCCCTGGGTCTTAGACAGTCTCACACTGCCTCCCTAAGGCTGGTCACGATTCTTGGGTGAGAAAAG